TAATGAAAATTTTGTCTACTATTTATTACGCGTAAACATTTGGTTTCTCTCAGAACACACTGGATAATTATTTTATCTAGGAATTAAGTTAATTTAATTCTTCATCGGGATCGCTTACAATTGTGAAATGTTAATATTACGTAACGTTAGAGTTCTTTTTCTTTATTATTTAAACTACAAAACATGATAAAAAATATTTGCCGAAACTTTTCAAAGAGATGGCAAAGTAGGAAAAATTTGCAGGATCACATTCTTTGCCATTTTATAAACTTTTTCAGATTGATTTATAACTCGGTAAGGTATTCTGCGCGTAGACAAAAGAGTGTACTTTAATTTAATATACGTTTCATTAAAATCTATTCGTTTTTAGTATAAAAAATATTTACCAAAACTTTTCAAAGAAATTGCAAAGATACACAATTTGCAGCATTGCATTCTCTGACATTTTATGAACTCTACATGCTAAATTTATAACTCGATATGGTATTCTTCGCGTAGATAAAAGAGTGTACTTTAATTTAATATAAGTTTTATTAAAATCTATTCGCTTTCAGTATAAAAAATATTGACCAAAACTTTTCAAAGAAATAGCAAAGTTGTACAATTTACAGCATTGCAATCTGTGATATTGTGTGATCGTATGGCTGCGTGTGTCTGTGTCTGAGAATATATTCTTTTCAACGTTGTTTAAATAGTAATTTGTTATTCTATTTGATATCAAAGTATTATTCGATGCCTAGAAAAAACTCTCCAAAATGTCTTATTTCCGACTTCGTCAGAAGGCTCTTTGCATTCATAGTAATGCCGAGGAATTACTAGCAATTACTGATTTCCGGCTTTGACGGTAACATATATACGATTTGATATTATATAATATTAATTATTTTAGATAAAGAAAAAAACAAACAATTTTTATGATTAATAAAAAAGATAGGGATTTTCTTTATTCGGAAATTCGTATCGATTAATCGTCGAGCACGAATTAGAAAGAGAAATCCTGATCGAGTGGTTAGATTGTAGGAAATAGATCGAATGTCAGAGCAGACGTTTCTTGTCTGAGAAAACAAAGACTATCACGTCGAATGAATTACAGAGTTCTCTATGTGCGAAAGACACGAATAAACGAACCGTGTGCCGATCGAATTTTTCCTCGAGCATTAGTTTCGATCGATACATAAACCTATCCCCGGTGAGTTACTCGAAAGATGTTTAGACGTTTAACTATTGGCAAAAGCAACAACAAAAAAGTAAACCGAACTACTAGCTTACCTTTTCCCGAAGAGTAATAGATACCAACTCTCCTACGTTACAGGAGAACTGTCAAGATAAACGATGGAAGACATTGAAACGAGAGGAATCCCTTCCTTCCCTTCGTTTTTCATAGAGAGGGAAAGCTTGGTCATGGTGTCGATGTGAGTTTTCTTCGTAGATATATTGGATAAACGTCGTTCGTTGCGAAAGACTTGGGTGAAAGTTTCCTTTGGGACAACCTCTTGTAATTTTCTACTTTCAAGAGGTTTAAACGTCTTGTTTTTTTTCTTTTTAAAAAAAAAAAAAAACGAACTTTTGTCTAGTTGATTATTATTATACTTCGTTTCAATTTCGCGATAATAATTTTTGACTATATTACTTACACCTTGAACAAATGTTCCTAACGAAAACATTTCGAAATCATTATTTACACGACTACACATCATACATACTCTCTCTCTCTATATCCTGATAAAAATAAATTTTTAGAAAACATCGTGCTCCTCTCTCTCTCTCTCATCGTAACAACTATATACCGTCAGGATTCTCATAAAATCGTGCGCTGACTCGTCTACGTAAAATTTGCCAAGCATAAAAGTCGAACTGAAGAAGTCAAACGACTACCTCGGACTCGTATTCACGAGTTCAACCCGTGTCCTAGGAGATGGAAAAGAGTCCGTTGATACGGAAGAGATTTCACGGGTTCTCGACGTTCGTCTTACTTTCACGATTTCTCTCTCTCTCTCTCTCTCTCTTTTCTATTCTTTATTTCCGCGTTTCAGTTCGTGCGAAAAAAAGAAAAAAGAAGCATAAAGAATGGTACAGAAAGAGAATGATATTGATAGTGTATATATGTGTATATATGTGTGTAAGAGAGATAGAAAGATAAAGACACGCGTACGCACATACACACACACCCACACACACACACACGGGCACATATATAAGAGAAAAAGTGTAGAGTAGATAGAAGACAAGCTGGCACTTTATTTTTGCAGAAATTTCTTTGAAACGTGGCCCAGGGTGAGAATAGGGAAAGGAAGAGTTGAGAGGGGGAGGAGGGTTAGCGGAAGGGGGTTTGGATGACTAGAAGGAAAATAAGGTAATTCTTAGTAGAAATTGCTAGATTCCGACTTTCGAAGGAATATGTCACGCAGTACGTGCCTTTTTCGTTCGCGCTCGTTGACACAAAACTAACATGGCTTTTCGTATTTTCATACATTCTCTCTTGTTTGGGCTCCTTTTAGAATGGCATTCACGCTACTCCTTCGGCGGTAGGTACAACAAGATGAGGAAAAGAAGTAGAATGATCTTTATCGATTTTCGAGATATACACAGACACGAATAGACTCACGCTTTTTCCTCCCCTCCCCCCCCCTCCTCCCCTCCTTCACCCCATGAGACACGTACGGTAAAAGAGATTTTCTTGAAAATTGTTCAAATGTACAAAGACGTGTTCTACGTGTTCATGTATATGGTTAAATTTAAACATCGGTATCTACTACTGAATCTTATCGTATTCAGTATCATTTAAATATTATTCGTATACTTTTATAACTATGTTTGTATGTTGAAAGAAATTTTCTAAATTTAATTATACACATTTTGTTGATTGTATATTAATGATAATGAATGTTATGAAAAAATGTCGTGATAATCGTGACAATTGACTGATGTTATAATTTATTATATATATATAATATAAATAGTAATATTTTTTTTAACTTTATAATCCATTGTGTATCATAATTACACCGAATACAAATATTATATAAAGTATATTCGAGAAAGATAAGATGATAGGAATGAATCAATAATTGGACAAAACGTACAATAATATAATACCGTTAACATTTATTTAGTGATTTAATTTATAAAGTATCCCGTAACCTACTTTAAATGTCATACTTGTAGGAAGTTTAATAAGATTAAATTGTAGAGAATGAATTTAATAGAAATACTGTGAACGGTAAAGAAGGTCGATCGGGGTGGTGAGGTCGATGAGTCGGGTCAAATGGGAATAGGTAACGTTTCAGTACCTATTCATATTTTCTGAAAGTAAAAGAGAGAGAAAAAAGGGTCGACAGTATTGCTCTTAATGATAATATACACTTGATAAAGTATCCTTCAGCCGAGTAGAGAAGAAGAGAGCTTGCTTCTCTTTTCTCGCTAACAACGCGTTGCTCGCTTATGCGAACTCGAGCATGACCTCGGAGTCGCCATTGCTTTGTATCATCATCGATGTCGAGAAAAAAGAAAAGAAAAAAAAAAAAATGAATGAGACGAGATTACAATTATGCGTTCACTACGGATGAAGAGTACTGCTAGAAGAAATGTCATCGATCGATTGCACACACAAATGCATTGTTCGTTACTCTTTTTCCATTTCGTTTGATAACAATGGAAAAATGTTTGACACACAACGGCTTGAAAATTATTTTCCTATATTACTCTCCTTTTACAGCTTTTATCTTTGATTTCTTCTCATATTTATTTCTATCCAATTTTTTTCATCGTAAATAAATGCCATCTAAAAAAATAATATTGCACTAAATTCAAGTTACCAATCGCACGACCCGTATAGTTCTTTTTATTTTCTTTTATATCAAATTAATAATGATATTATTTAACAAAATATTATTCGTCGAATTATTTTCGATGAAAAATATTTGCGAGTGTTCGCTGATTCCGTATAAGTTTTTTCTGATCGAACGCCTTCGATTTTATCGGGTGGGAAGGGGGGGCAGGGGGATTAGAGGGAAATAAAAAGGATAGGATAAATGATAGAGGAAGAAGAAGGGGGGCCGGAAAGGAGGTCGTTGGTTGCGTACTGCGAAATGGCTAATTCAAAGGAAACGGATATTACGAAATGTTGCTTATAGGGTTATTATGGGCAAAGGTATTTATAAGTTACGAATGTATCTCGATGAAAGTAACGGCTTTTCATATCTCTACATAGTTCACCGCCATTTAGGATATTTCTGAAAAGCAGTTCAGTACGGGACATATACGAATGGTGGTTTTTTTTTTTTCTTTTTTTCTCTCTCTCTCTCTTTATTTCTTTTTCCTTTTTTCTTCTTTTCTTTACATCTTGCTACGTTACCTCCGGCGTTTGTCCAGCCACGAGATAATGACGATCTATGGTATACTCGTTGTTTTACAGGTCACGGTTCTCGATTACATACCGGTAAACCAACGACATGTGTGTGTATATGTACATGCGTACACGTACATGTACATAATATGTTCTCTCGTAGGAAGCACCGTAGCATGCTAGGGTTACTAAAATAGTAGACTCTCTTTATCTCTCTCTCTCTCTCTCTCTCTCTCTCTCTTTCTTTCTTTCTATTTTGTTCTATTTGGACCAACGGAAGAAAAGCACGTAACCAAAAGCAATGGATTTTCGTTTGGAATAAGAGTACAAGGAACAAACGATGTATTTCGCGAAAACTTTGTTTATTATAAATATTTACGTTGAATATATTGCATAAAGTTAAACGACCGATCAAAAAGCATCATTTTCGACGTATATAAGGTAAAATGAACTTGTGCAAATTTTCCATTTCATGAAAAATTCATATAGTAGATGGTTGAAAAAGATTATGACTAAATTTTGCCCAACGCGTATCTTCATTTTTCTCTCGTTTTAAAATATTATATATAGACAAATGTTTCTTCATTTTATTTTTATTTGTTTTTTCTTTTTTTTTTGTACGAATTAATTTTTCATTATTCTCTCATTGTTACAGATATACATCGAAGTGATAATAAAAGTCGTTTAGAAAAGGAAAATTATTCAAGATGACACGACGAAAAGGAAAACGAGTTACGAACATTCCTTAAGATAAGCTGCTATATCGGAAGAGGTATGCTATTAATTTGTGTGCTCCTATATATATATATATTTTTTTTCTTCCTTCTTGTTGTTGTTGTTCGTTTTTTTTTCTCTCTCTCTCTCTCTCTCTTCGTATTTTCTTACACCGAGGTAATTCATTCTCGAGGGTGACATCGTTCTGGCCATCGACGACAATGTGCCATGACAACCCAGACGAGGACGACGACGACGACGACAACGACAACGTCCTTCTCGTCCATTGATTAATGTCCACTTTTTGAGGTTCGGTAAAAAAAAGAAAAAAAAAAAAAAACATTAAAAGAAAAAAAAATGAGAGACTCGGGTGAAAGGCTTTCAAAGTATTTCAAGCCAGTCAATGACAGCGGACCGTTGAAATTTACGAAGAGAAAATAATCGTTTTCGGTAGATCTTAGATATAGAAGAGAAGCCTTGATTTCTTTTTATTATTATTATTATTATTATTATTATTGTAAGATTTATTTTATTTAATTTGAGAAAAAATATTAAAGAAGGTATAATAATGTTGACTTAATCAATAACGCTTAACACTAATATTAACCGATTTAGGTAGAATTATTTTGAAATGAGATAGAATGGTGAGTATCTACAATCTAAAGCTACAATCTATTGTCATGAAATATCAGGTGCTACTCTTCATCATAACTCGAAAAACAACCGCCGTAATTAGTGAAGGACACGCCGTGTTCGACTCGTCATATCCCTTCACCGTACCCCTGTTGTCTTCTCCTTTTCTTTCACACCTAACATTATTATTATTATTATTATTATTATTACTATTATTATTATTATTATTAGTGGAAACTTTATATATTCGTGATAGAGAAATGAATCTTATTTAAGAATAAAAAAAGAAGAAACAGACAATGATAAAAATGAGACAAATTAAAATATCGTTTTACGGTATCGGTGCGAACAGACAACGGATTGAAGGATTAATACACGTCGTTATTGTACGAAGTTTCTTTTTTGCTTTTTATTCGCTGGATTAAAATGAATGTCTTTTTTTGTTATTTTTTTCTTTTTTCTTGTAATCCTCTTCTTATTTTTATTCGAGGAATAATATTTCAATCGTTCATACCAATCGTTTATAATACTCTTGACTTTTTTTTTCTTTTTTTTGCTCAATCCTCGAGGTGTTCCCTCAGCTTAACTAACATTCGATATTGGTTGACAATAACGTGAAAATTGAATTTATTCGTTTAAATAATACCTTTCATGTATTAAGAATTATTTTCGCTCGGTTTGTTTCATACACAACGAAAGAGAAAGAGAGAGAAAAGGAGAGAGAGAGAGAGAGAGAGAGAGAGAGAGAGAGAGAGAGAGAGAGAGAATAAAATAGTTGCATTTATACTTATTTATCGATAAAACCACTCTACGACATTTTCCGATAAAGTATTACAATCGTTGCGTGATTTTTCCTTTTCTCTGGACAAACTATAATTAACGACATGTTAGGTAGTTTTTAAATCGGATTGACGAAGTCGTTACGTTCATTTAGAAAATAAATGACCGCAATGATGGAAACGAAAAACTCTCATTTATGATTTTCTATGACGAATTGTTTCCTTTCTTCCATTCTTACTTTTTTCATCTTTATTTTTCCTTTTCTTTTTTCTTTTTTTCCTCCATTTTATTTCTCATTCGTAGAGAAAATATTGCAATTCGTTTGATGATTAACGATACGGCATTTTCTTTATTAGCGATTGATCTGTTATATACATACGACTCGTAATAACGTGAAGAAAACAAGAAAGGAAAAAACATGAAATGAAAATAAAAGGAAAAACAAATAAAGAAAGAAGAAGAGGTAGAAAAATCTCACGAGAGCATTAAATGTTTTTTCGTAATTTTCGTTCGTTCGTTCGTACGTACGTTCGTTCGTTCGTTCGTTTGTTCGTTCGGTCCCACGGTCAAAGAGAAAAAAAAGTAAGACAAGAGTAACAAAGGATAATTATTAATGAGAGTGAAAGAATCGAACTCACGGGTTGTATCCTTTGGTTGTACGAAGCATTCATTGGACGATACTCTAATGCAATTCCCTCGTTATCCTGGCCGCTTTTCTAGCAATTCGTTTAATTTCGAGCTACTATTGGCTTTCTACTTTATACTTCTTCTTCTTCTTCTTCTTTGTTTTTTTTTTTTCTTTCTCTTTTTCTTTCCATAAAAACAACAATATATTTCGCTTGCAGCATGTTAGAAATCTTATTACGTTGATTACTACGAGCTTGGGTTTGAAAATTAGCGAGATACTGAAAAAATATCTTTCCCGATCGGATTTTCGAAAATTCAAATTACGTTTCGTGTATCTAACTTTGAGTATTAAACATTTAATTTTGAACCATAGTTTTTCATACTTATTTCATAATACAATTAAATGTCTAATAATTTGATGCAATATTATTATTCCTTCCGGGGGAAGTTTTATTATAAAATTGTATTTATTTTATATAGTCAGATAGAAAAATATTTGTAAAATAAAACTCTTCGAAACAAGGGTCGTATACAACGAGAGTTAGTAACGAAACGTAATTGGAGTTTTCGAAATTCTGGAGAATCCTGATATTCTCCAGTCACGAGAAACTTTTAGGACTCGACATGATCCTCGACTTTTACCGAACATTTCCGATTTTCCTATACTTCTGGAAAATATATTATATCTCTTTCTCTTTCTCTCTCTCTCTCTCTCTCTCTCTCTTTGTTCCTATTTTTTTTTGCGGTAAATTTCCAGAAAACTCTGATAACAACGATGAGCATCTAAAAAGTGATGTTGTTTACCAAGTAGTGATATCGAGAAGAAACAAGATAAAAAAGGATAATATTGAAAGAAACGAAGCATATATTTTCAGTATTATGAAGATACAAAACGTGGTGGTTCAAAGAACATAAAAAGAAAAGTCGAGAACAAGACGATGCATCTTCCTTATGCAAATACGTACCTAAGAGTCGATCGAGCAAGCGAAAGGTAATTCAAAGAGACGATCGAATATAAAATTTACGGCTCCTTGGGATTTCGTTCCCCACCCACCCCCCTTTACCTCTTTTTTTCTTCTTTATCCTCTTTCGTCTTGATTAAATTTAATGCCATTGGCAAAGATTGTTACGTCTTTATACTACATTGATTAGGATCAAACACACTTTTTTTTTGGTCTTCTTTTCAATCCCCAGGATTGTAGGTTTAAAAGAAAGAATTTTATTTTTATTTTTTTTTTTGACGACACTGATAAGAAATGCAAATATCGTTTCTAACTTAGACGGGATTTTTTTGTCGAGTTAAGAAAAAATATTTTATATTATTTGACGACGTTCGATTAGGAACAAATAATATTTTCTTTTTTGTATTCAAAATTCTACTACGGATTGTCGATTAAAGGCAAATATTTTTCCCTTTTTTTTTTTTCTTTTTTGTATTTTTTTTTTTTGATGACATCGATTAGGATCGTGCTTTCCTTTGAAAATTCGAGAAAAATAGAAACGTTTCGTTTCGTTTCGTTTTTAAAATCGTTATGAATCAATTCTTTCGGAAGAGTACTATCACAAAAAACGTTTCGTTAAAACGTTTGAACGAGCCGGAGAAGAAGGCATCTCTTTTATTTTGCACGTACGATCCGAAAGAGCTATTCTTTCGAAACTTCATTATCTCGTACGAGTAGAAATAAAAGGTCGCGTGAAAATATTTGTATCGAGAGGTCAGTCATAGTTGAACGTACGGGGAAAGAATACTACCGTTGGATAGTACAAAGGGAACATAGTTGATACAATACTAATAATCTTTAACCGAAACTTTCGATTGGTGCGTTTGTATAGAAAAAAAAAAAAAAAGAAAAAAAGATATAGTCCGTGCTTCAAAGATAACCGCGAGAAATTCCACCGAGTTCTATACCAAATACAAAACCTGAATAAGCTGATTATCGAAATTGCTTTTATTTCGAACGAAATAAAAATTGCTCTCCATTCTTTTACATTTATTTTTCCTATACGAAATGAAAAGAAAAAGAATAGATTTAAGAGAGAAAAGAAAAAAGCAGACTAATACGAAACGTATAGGCAAAAAGGAGGGATAGGGATAGGGGAGGGGGTAGCTTTTTTACTTTTAGTTTATTTCACGTTCAAAGCCTGTGAAATCGGAGGAGGGATAAGTATGTGTATAAAAAAGGGCCTTGCAACACTCTCTCTCTCTCTCTCTCTCTTTCTCTCTCTCTGTCTCGAATACGAGAAGGAAGGGTGGGTAGTAAATTTCGTTTAAGACGACCGGGACAACTTGTGTAAAGTCGAAAGAAATAGTAGTAGGGGTAGATGAGAGAGAAGGTTACGAGGGTGTGTAATGTAAAAGATGGGGGATGGTATTGGTAAGTAATAGTAGTAGTTACTGCATAGAAGGAGGAGACTCAGGATCAAAAGTTCAGTTTCGCGTTAGGTACGGCATGCGAACGCGATATTTCCGAACCAGTGATCCGGAGATCACACAGCTTCATACCGGCGCTAAAAACTACCCCCGTCAAAGCCGTCGAACGGTCGAGGACCCGAGGCTTTCTATCTTTCTCTGTTAGTCTTCTCTGTTTAGCAGACTGTATCTAGCCGTTCACTAACGAGAGGAACTCGCCACCATTGCACTCTCTTACCCCCTTTGTACTTTCTTTTTTTTTCTCACTTTACCTATCCTCTTTATTCGCATATATATCCCTACTCTCTATTTATTTTTTATTTTTTATTTTTTTATTTTTAATTTTCTTTATAAGTCCCATCAGAATTGTATAAAGCAACACACGACTCTACGACACTGTCATCAACTAATTAGATCTTACTCGATGAAAATGTTTACGCAAATAACCGAGTCTGATATATTTAATACAAAACGAATTTGATTAAATTATACTAGGATTTATTTGCATACGCATTTGTTAATATTAAGATTTGTATTAGTTGTTGTAAAAGCGACTTCGAATTCCTTTTGACGATAACAACAAAATATGAAAATATCCATGCAACGAA